TGGGAAAAAGACAGTCTCTTCAACAAATGGTGCTGGGAAAGCTGCACGGCAACGTGCAAAAGAATTAAACCGGACCACTTTCTTTCACCTACATGAAAATACACTCAAACTGGGTTAAAGACCAAAATGTGAGTCCTGAAACCATAAAAATCCTAGAAGAGAGCACAGGTAGTAATCTCTCTGCCCTCGGCCGCAGCAGCTTTTTTCTAGGTATGTCTCCTGAGGCAAGGCAAACGAAAGCAAAAATAAACTCCTGGGACTACATCAAAATAAAATCTTTTGCAAAGTGAAGGAAACAATCAACAAAACTAAATGACAACCTACTGAATGGGAGAAGATATTTGCAGATGGCATATCTGATAAAGGGTTAGTAACCAAAATATATAAAAAAAACTGATACAACTCAACACTCAAAAAACAAATAATCCAATTAAAAATGGGCAGAAGACACGAACAGACATTCCTCCAAAGAAGACTTATAAATGGCCAACAGACACATGAAAAGATGTTCAACATCACTCATCGTCGGGGAAATACAAATCAAAACCACACTGAGATGCCATCTCACGCCTGTCAGAATGGCTAAAGTCAGCAACACAAGAAACAACAAATATTGTGAAGATTGGGGGAAAAAGGAACCTTCGTGCTCTGTTGGTGGGAATGCAAACCGGTGCAGCCACTCTGGAAAACAGTATGGAGACTCCTCAAAAAGTTAAAAATAGAACTACCCTACGACCCAGCAATTGTACTACTGGACATTTATCCCCAAAATACAAAAACACATTCAAAGGGATATACACAGTGGAATATTATTCAACCACAAAAAAGAACGAAATCTTGAAACAACATGGATGGAGCTAGAGAATATATCGCTAAGTGAAATAGGTCAGTCAGAGAAAGACAGATACCGTATGATTTCACTCACATGCGGAATTTAAGAAGCAAAACAAATGAACAAAGGGGGAAAAGAGAGACAAACCAAAAAACAGACTCTTAAGTATGGAGAACAAACAGATGGTTACCAGAGGGGAGGTGGGGGGGAGGGGGAATGGGTGAAATTTTTAAAAACATTATTCACTGGGGAAATGGCAGGATTTCAGTAAATATTAATGATAACAAAATCACTACAATCTCTTAGAAGAATCAAGAACAGGCAAGATAAGAAAATATTTCCACAAAATGCACCTGCTCCTGCTGAGTCCCTCCCTCGCAGATTCGCTGTCATCCTCAAGGTGGAGTTTTTAAAAACCAGAAGCCAGGAAACAAAATAGGGGACAAAATAGGGGACAACACACGCAAGAGACCAGACGGGGGTCCTCAGTAAGTCAGGCGTGATGGAGGGAAAGGGGGCAGACGGCTCCTCTCGAAAGATGGGCAGAGATTTCAGCTGAAGAGACAGAAAATAAATGTCGATCCTCATTTCAAGGGTCTATTTCCCGAAAATGTGAAATGTTAGTCAACCACCAGTTACCTTTTGAGCACCTACTATGTGCCCTGGGCTCCGCCAGTCACTGCTGAGGGCTAGGGGGAAGGCAGGGCGTGCTCTTCACGGTCCTCCTGAGGGACTAATGAACAAATAGGAAGTGCGTGCCCAGTGAGACAGCAAATAATGAAGGTATAATGTTAATAACCACGTATACTAACCTTGTTCATACAGAGTGAGTCATACAGGATTTCAAAAACTACCAAAGGTTGGAGGGGTCAAAGGTGGTTTCACAAAAGTGGTCAGACTTGGGTAAGGACGATAACAGTTTTGGAAAGAGCAGTGACATAGTTAAACCGGAAGACATGGGCAGAGGCAAACAGAGTCAGGGGAACTGTGTGAAGCCAGGAGTTGACCCACGTCGACCAGCACTGAGGCAGCAGAGCCAGAGGGAAGACTCGGGGAACAGGGCATCGGAAAGGAGCACTGGCCAAGTGGTGCCCCTTCAAGGAAGAACAGAGGTGCCATTGACGGAGACACGAAGGAACTGAGCGGCATTCAGGACGTGTCTTATTTGAGGGGACATCTACGTGGAAATGAAGAGGCTCGCGAAAAATCACAACGTTCTATGTGCTCTGAGGGTCTAGAAGAATTGAGGTCATCCAAGGTTCCATTAAGGACAAGGGACCAAAATGGCATTTGGAAACAGCAGGGGGACAGGGGTGGGGGGGAGGTCAGCACAACTGACATGATCTCGGCCATCGGGGTAAACTCCCCACGAGGGGAGCAGTAGAGAGGAGGGCCACAAGGACAGAACGTGAGGTCTCGCTCGGGGGTGGGCCAAGACGGAGAAGGCAACAGGCTGATAAGGACGGGAGAGTGTCAGGCCATGCAATGAAACGGAGGCTTTTGATGACCGAGGGGTTGATGGGCAGGGTCAAAATCAAAATCGAAGGATAGAGCAGGTGAGAAAGGATCGTTGAATCCACCCATCACAGATGGGCAGCTATGGGGGACCGGGGTGGTGGCCGTGCCTCAAGGGGCCGCCAAGGAGCCAGAGGGAGAAAGCGGAAGGATTTCGTGTGGACCATTGGTGTGGCACGCCCAACACGGAAGCAGCCGCAGCAGACTTCACACAGAGCGATCCACGTCAGTCCGTGCCCGACGGCCAGGACGACCTCTCAAAGCAGACACCTCTGCTGACTGGAGAGCAGGACAGACACGCACGCGTGAGGGAGAGATCAACGACACAGGCAAGGCAGACAGAAACTGTAGCGCGGCGGCCCTCGCAAGTGGAGGGATTGGGGAGAAGGATGGGGGATGGGCTCATTCAGGAAAGAAGGGGATGTCTCTTCCTCTGGGACTTGAAGCAGCGGTCTGACCTACCGGCGACATCGAGATACTGACCAAGAGGCAGTCCTAGACGTGTCTCCAGGCCCAAACGGCCACCCCTACCTTGCTCGCATCCAGAGGAGCCACACCTGACCCCCATCCCAGAATTCCGAAAATTACCAGAAGCCGCTGAGGGGTCCCCTTCTAGAAACACACGGGATGCCTGAGATAGATGCTGCTGCCGTGACAGCAGTCCGCTTGGAAAGGAGGAGAAAACTCAGTCCTCGGACGTACGGAGGAAGCTCTCAACTAGATCCCTGTCACCCAGAAGACGCAAGTGGGCCCCCTGATCCTTCGAGGGCTTGAGGAAGAGCAAGCAAAACTGTGTGGACCACAAAGCAGGCTTCGTCTCCACAGCCTGCAGCCTTCCTGCAGGACGCAGGAGAGCAGCCATTCGTGTCGGATGACAAAGTCTCGTCCCACTGTGTCTGAACTTGGCACAGAGCCTTGTGCAACTCAACAGGCTCTGAATGCAGAGCCCGCCCTCCCGGGATATCTGGAATCGGCTTTAGACACGCATACTGCAAGGGGGGAAATCAGCACGAATCGCGGCACTGACAGAAGCAGAGATGTTTCCACTTACTCCCCAGTAACATGAAAGGACTGGGAAAGAATCTTTGCCAGGGGTGCTTTCTGCTCGGACGTTAGGATCCCAGAGACCCGGCATGTTCCAGGGACGGACCGCCCGGGCACGGAGCCAGCTGCTGGCCTGACGCAGCCCTACCGGTCAGGTGCAGGTGCTCGGGCTTCAGGACACATGTTGGGACGGTGGCGACACAGAATGTTGAGGGAATTTCACACAGGCTTCTGATTCAGAGGGTGGAACCGAAGGACCTTTAGGAGCGTTTCACTCCGCCCCAAATAGACATACGGTTTGTTCAAACTCATGTGCATTCCGTGCCTGCGATATTTACCAATCTGTGAAATTTACGGCATTTCAACGTGAGGTACAACTTTCCTTTTTTGATTTATCGCAAGTTCCAAAAAAAGGCCTGCCTTTCCCCCACTCATTCTATTTACAAGCAGAAAATGTGAATTTTATTTGTAGAACTTTTTTTTGCATTGCCACAGACTCTCCTCCCTCAATACCAGTGTAGACAAGCCACGATGATGAATTAATCCAGAGCTCACCTTGACCTGACTGACTCAGCGTCACACGGCCTCACGGACGGCGTCTCCGTGTGACCTCAAGAGCAGCCCTCGGCTCTGAGTTACAGGTACCCACCATTTCTCATCCCGGCTCTCTCTAGGGGAAAAGCTGCCGGGTTCACAGGAGACGTGTGGAATCAAGAGAAAAGGCCCCCGAACAAAGTCACTGTCGATTCAAAGTGCCCGTGGGCTTTCCGGCTCCTTTCCTCTTCCTGCTTCTGATTTTCTTTTCTCCAACATACCCATGGGAGGAGATATTTTTTCCTCCAAAAGACGGCTGTCAATTTTGGATAACTAAGTAACACATTCACCTAAAAGTACCTTCCTGGGGTGCGGTAGAGGCAGTCAATTAAGGTTTCTCATTAAGCTTTCGCAGAAACGAGAATTTTAAATGCTCTTTCTGTGTCTGAACATTATATCTATGCCGCGTCTGTGTTTCACAAGCCTAACCTCCAGGTTGCTTGGCACCATCCCACACACTGTAAGTTGACCACATAAGTTCTCATAATGAAACATAATTTACACACGTTAAAAGTTAGAGACGGCATCTCTATAATTCATGTGGAAAACCAAGTAAATATGAACAAAAAGCTTTCCTTTTGCGACTGCAGTGGCTTGTGCACATTTTGATAAAAAGCCACCCTCCCGAGGCCAGCAGGAGAGAGGGGAGAAACTGGCCGCGATGCCCTCGCTCCAGGGCTGGGCTCACAGCCGAGGGGACCACCTCACTTAACGCAGGAAAACCCTCTCCCCGGCCCGTTTCTGCTACGTAAGCATTACAAGTTGGGCACAAAGTTCTGTTAAATTCCTTGCTCTCACCCCACAGGAGGTACCTCTGCTGATTAAGAGTTTGTCCCAAGCAAAGTCCTGGTGCTGTTCTCGTCTATGTCCCAGGAGATGTCTCCAAGTAAGAAGTTTGTCCATCTGCTGAAAATCAATTTTCTGTAACAGCTCACATTGCCAGCGACCAGTGGATAAGAAAACACGCTAATAAGCGAACAGCCGAGAACCGGCTGCTGAGAAACAGGACACGTACCTGAGCATCTCCTTGAACTTGACCTCCCTTCCCTGCACGGTGACAAGGGTGACGGACACATCGAAGATACCCCGGGACCCATTGGGAGCCAGAGGGAGCTGGGGACAGAGTCAGACCCATGCCTGGGGCAGTCCTGCTGAAGACAGCAGCTGGGGGAAGTCGCCCTGTCCCTACCTTCCTGGAGGGGGGGCCCACCGCTCACATGAGGCTGGGAGAGGCGCGAGGACGGGCAGGCCCCGAGGGGATCAGGAGGGTCCTCAACCCAGGAGCCGAGCGTGGATGTTTCCGAGATGAAAGGCATCATGGAAGACACTGGCCTGCACCTGCTGGTGTCCTTTCCCAGCCTCGCGGAGGTGTGACGGACAAGTAACAATTGTGGACATTTAGGAAGGACGACGCCGTGGTTTTTCAGGAGTACCACTGTGCAATGGTGACCACAGTCAAGTTACTGAGCACATCACCTCACAGAGACACCTGCTTTGAGCGTGTGGCGAGAACACATAAGATCTCCTCTCGGGTGAAGGAGACCGCATCGCTGGCCACAGTCTCTGAGCTGTACGTTAGATCCCTGGGGCTTTACGCCTCTTCTAACCCGCCCGTCCTCCTCCACTTCCTCCTTCTCTAAACAGGAAGGAAGCCATTTCAACTTCTCCTCCAGGTCCCTAACCGCGGTTTCTAAAATTGTCATCAATTCAACAACAGCGTCTCGGTGAAGAATACATGAAAACACGTCTTCAATACCTTCCGTCTTACTAATGAAGAGCGTTATATACATAGAGTTGAAGATAAAGCATCTTCTCTATCTCAAGGGAAAAATTCCCCTTTGTGCTCGAATCCAAATGATTCTCCTACGTATAGAGGAACCCGAGCCTTATTTTTGTAGAACCATGTCATTCTCTAAAAATGTCATTACTTAATGTTTAATTCGCCATATCCCACTTAGCATTATCGATGACTCACACTTAGCTTTCGAGACTCTAGCGCTGATCAATATGAACCTTGTCTCTCAGAGAAGCAATAAAAGACTTCGCTGTAGTGACAAAACGGTATGAAGATAATAAAGAGAAAAAAACGGTAAAGATACTGGGCAAGCAATGAATTTCAAAAATCAATTAAAGAATCAATGCTGGTTTTCATTTTGTCACAAAAACCCTGAGTCAGAGACAATGTGAGATCAAAAATGCCCTGGTTTTATTGGCATTTCTGGCAACGTTAATTAAATGAAAACCCTCTACGGACTGACCGATAACGCACACAACGAGAACCAAGCGCTGTCGCGGGTTTGCGAATCCACTGGCTGTGGCAAGATCCTTACACGGCGATTCCAGCAGGAGCTGCAAGCGACGGAAAATGCATCATGCCCTGCGCCTGGCATTTTTTAAGTATATTAAGTCATTTAAATATGATTTGTGTCAGTTGATATAAACCATCACTATGATTACTTTTCAAACGGCCTCCCTGTTTGTCACTCATTTTATAGCTAGAAACATGTCAACTACTCACTTTTCTTATCTGACCTTGTCTGGCATGAAGGCCACTGTTTCCCAAACTCGGGGACCACGTAGGGCAGGGAGCTTGTAAGGGGAAGTGGCCGAGTTCCCTGGACACTTGATCCTCAATGAATGTTCGAAGCACAACATGAGATGGGGTGGTCATAATGACAAGAAAACCAGAAAACAAAATAGAACACGAATCTTTTCCTTTTCTTTTTAAGAAAATAAGCACACATTTATCCATGATACATAACTCTTACTCTCTGTAACTATGGGATGAAAATAACCCACTCTTTGTTTTTCCATTTTCTTATGACTCCACCCAAATTTGTACCATGTTCTGAAACTTCCAATTTTTCAACAACATGAACACTGAAGACAGGAAGTGACGAGAGGGCCAAGTCTCTGTCTGTCTCTCAGGCCAAATTCTAGTCCTACAACGCCCAGGCTCATTGAGTTAAGAATTTTTTGAACATGGGCACCTGGGTGGCTCCATTGGTTAAGTGGCTGACTTCAGCTCAGGTCATGATCTCACAGTTTGTGAGTTCGAGCCTCACGTCGGGCTCTGTGCTGACAGCTCGGAGCCTGGAGCCGGTTTCAGACTCTGTGTCTCCCTCTCTCTCTGCCCCTCCCCTCCTCACGCTCTGTCTCTCTGTCTCTCAATAATAAATAGATGTTAAAAAAAAAATGGTTAAATAGCCAGCATACAGCACACCTGGGTAGCTCAGTTGGTTGAGCATCCAACTCTTGGTCTCTGCTGAGGTCATGATCTCACGGTTTGTGAGTTTGAGCCCCACATCGGGTTTCGCACCAACAGTGGGGAACCTGCTTGGGATTCTCTCTCTCTGCCCCTCCCCCACTCTCTCTCTCAAAATAAATAAATAAACAAATAAATAAAATAGCCAGCATAGTTGCCGAAAACAGAAAACACTAAGAAATGACCAGATTGGGCAATTCCAACGCATCTTGGGAGAGGTGACTGGTGAACGGGTCGAAGACGCGGCATTGGAAAAAAACTGACAACAGGCCAGCAACGTAAGCTCAGAAGTATGAGAAGTGACACCACACGGATGGCGTTCCTCTGGGAGAAGCAGGGGACAGCCCCCAGCCACAGGGCAAGAGTGAGGCTCAGGCTGGAAAACGCACCGGCACCCCACAAAGTCGCTCACACCTGCACAGCCAGGCATCACCTGACCACCCACCACTTCCCTCACCAGCGCCCTGTTTCTTCCACCGCCAGCATGACCCTCACCATGAACCTGCCGGAACACGTTAGCACCTCGTTGTGCAGAAGACACAAGCCTTGCCACTTAGAGATGTGCTCTAATCCCAGCCAAGGGCAAGGACACTACAGGTTATTTGTCTCCAGACAAAATGATTCTGAGCGCTTCATCCCCAGATCGGAGCCGGGATAGCAGATTCTCAGCGGACACTCATCGGCTGGATGTCTCCGTTTATAGACGTTAAGATTTTATCAGAAGAGGTGACACTCAGATATATATATTTTACATACGGTTTAATATATAATAACAGATATCAAAGTTTACATATATCTCAAGGAAAAGAGTTAGTAACTAACAGACACAAGTTCTATTCAGACGTCGTTTGATATCATTTTTTTTCTCGCTTTTCCAAAGGGCTACAACATAAATGCTCCACAGGCAGACAGAGCCTGCTGTTTTCCCATCACATTTAACACAGAATGCTCAACAATTTTGCGGTGTGGACCATGCATTTGAAAGGACTCTGCCCCTCATCTCGTCGTACATAACATTGTCATAAAACACACACAGTGGGGACGCCTGGGTGGTTCAGTCTGCTAAGCGCCCGACTCTTGATCTCTGCTCAGGTCATGATCTCACGGTCATGAGTTCAAGCCCCACATTAGGCTCTGTGCTGACAGCCTGGAGCCTGCTTGGGATTCTCTGTCTTCCTCTCTCTCTACCCCTCCCCCACTCATGCCCTTTCTCTCTCAAAATAAATAAATAAACTTTAAACACACATACACACACACAGAATATATCTCTAAAGGAACATAGACCATTTTATAAATTGATGAGTACATATGCCAAAAAGTAGCAAATTTAAGGCACTTTTTTTACTGATAGCATAGCACACTTATCAATCACTTTATGCTTGATATTTGAAGCCTTTGAGAAAAAAATGTCACAATTATCATTTCATCCCCTTACCCACTCTGCACCTGGAACTTGTCACTATGGCAACCTGTCCCGATGCCTCTAAATCAGAAGCGATCTGTGTGTTCGTATTATATCCTAAAATGCAAAACCAAAACAAAACCACCAAATGAACCACCAGAGCATTCCAAATGTTCTTTGGTACGTTTCAGAGAGTTATTATCTGTCTAACAGAGGATGGAATAATTCAACATCTGGATTCATGGCTTAAATTTTATTTTGCATTTTTTAATGTATCACTGGGTAAATTATTCCTTCTGTTTTCTTAAGCCTCTCAAGTTTTCACCACCATAACAAAATAAACCTAATGAGAAATCAAATGGAAAATTTATTCCAGTAAAACAGAAATATAATTTTTTTTTGATCCTGGCATGCAATAAAAGGGTCAAAACAGATGCTACCCAAGGCAAAACCTGTACCATTGCTCTGGAGGAGCCCCGATTAAGCATAACTCGCATGCTGTTTGGTTGGTTGTTTGGGGTTTTTCTTAATGTGAACGGAATCTCTGATCAAAAATATTTAAATTCAGGGGGCGCCCGGGTGGCTCAGTTGGTTAAGTGTCTAACTCTTTTTTTTTAATCTTTTTTTTTAACATTTATTTATTTTTGAGAGACAGAGTGAGACAGAGCGTGAATGGGGGAGGGGAAGAAAGAGGTGGGGGGCGGACACAGAATCCAAAGCAGGCTCCATGCTCTGAGCTGTCAGCAC